ACTGATGCAGTCTTTAGTGATAGGGTGGAGATTGGCTATTTCTAATTTGAGCTCCTTCAGGATCCTAAGGTGAATGCCATCAGGTCCTGGTGATTGCTCCTGTTTAGTTTATCAGTCTCCTCTATGACCACACCTGCTGAAACCTCAGTTTGGGTTAACTCCACAGATTTGTCCCTACAAAGGAGAGGATCTGGTGAGGGACATCTTCCACAGTGAAGAGAGATGCAAAGAATGCATGTAGTTTCTTGACAATGGTCCTGTCATCCTGTAGTGCTCCTTTTACACCCTGATCATCCAAAGGCCCAACTGAGTCCCTGGCAGGTGGTTGACTTCTAATGTACCTAAATAAATTTGTATTGTTATCTTTTGTGCCTCTAGCAAGTTTCTCCAAGTATATTGCCTGTTAGACAATGGTGGCCTGAATAAGTTGTATCTTGCCCTGTTTTAAGTGTTAGGTAGTTTAGGTTCACTCAAAATTTTGGGTTAATATATAGGTTCACTAGCAATTTTGTTTCAGCATCGTCTTTCTTACAATTAAATTAGGCAAAATATAGTTGCCCACTTCTCTCCACATTCCTAAAGCTGAATCCCAATTTAAAATTATATGGTCAGGAGGACAAGAAAATAACTTTATTGTTTTCCACATAGCAGACAATCCTTTTATGCAGGATGTTCCCTGAGTGTTTTACACTGCTTGCAAATAAAGTTATGTCTACACAAAGCTACTTTAGCGTGTGTGCAGGAACCAGTAATACTAGAACCTGGTCGGCTACTTTGGTATTAATTTTGGTAGGTATTTTATTATAACTCTGGTGCCTCCTGGCCATTTTAACTACACAATATAGTTTTAAAAGGCCAAAAACACCACCACACCCTTATTTGAGACACTTTACCTCATAGTAAAATCAATGGCATTTCTTTTTTCCTTCAAATTACCAAAGCCCATTGTGCCAGGGGCACAGGACCGGGAAGGGGGGAAGCCTCGCCCAGAGGCAAAACCCCAACCGAAGAAAAGAAAGAAAAATATAATAACTTACCTGTTTCAGGGGCCAGGAGGAGCAAGGAAGCTCAGGGCGAGAAACCGCCTGCGCAGGTTGTAAGCCCATATACAGCTGGGGCCAGGTGACATCATGAGGAGACGCCACCCGGCGGAGATGAAAGGGGGCCGTGAAAGCATGGGAAGGCCGCCGAGCGCCAGAGAACTGGCAGGAACCCACTGGCCAGGAGGGGACCAGCTGTGGCAGATGGCAGCCGGCAGCGGCAGCAGCAGCGAGAGTGGCAAGGGTAGCGGCGGTGGCGGCAGCTGTGGGAGTGGCAGGGGATCCATGACCCGGGGAAGACCAGCAGGGATCAAAGACGCCAGTGGAGAGGCCAGCAAAGGCAGCCGCAGCAGCGGCTGCAGCATCAGGAGCAGTGGGAGCGGTGGGAGATCCCCGAACCAAGGATCAGTGGGGATTGAAGATACCGGCAAGGAAGCTGGCAGGAAAGCCGGCGGTGGTAGCCACAGCAGCAGTGGCAAGAGTGGTGGGGAACCCTGAGCCGGAGAAGCCTGGTGAGAGCCGAAGGAGCCGGCAGAGGGACCCGTGGTAACCCCAGGGAGAACGGGCGGCTAAGCCTAATCATAGGCAACGGGGGCCATAGCCCTGAGTGGAGGCAGGGCCCAGAGAAAGAAAGAGAGGGACCCCGGCTGGGGCAAAGGCACGGGTCCCAACCTGTAGGGTGCCCAAGACTAAGGGCGTCAAGGGTGCTAAGGGTGTACAGAGCTCGCGGTGGGTGCTCTTTTTCCTTCAGGGTCCTTCCCCTCCTCTTTCCTTTTGGCTACACCTTACCAGTAGCCGTGGTGGTGGCTTTGTTCATTCTGTGTCACAATGGGTGTTTCAGGGAAGAGGGGTTTAGGGTCAAGGCAGTGGCAGTGGTCCCCTTTAGGGCCCGTTTATTTCCATCCCTTTTGTGAGGGTAGATGAGCGGAGTCCTCAACACCAGGCAAGGGTGGCTAGGACCCCATGGAAGGGGAGAGAGAGAGGCTGCGCAGGAGCACACTGGGAGCAGGAGCTAAGTGCACCAGAGAAGACAGGCCCGAAAGCCGAAGGTCTCCAGGCCCACCCACCAGAGTTCGGCCGGGGCCCAAGGTGGTCACCGTCGTGAGGCAACACGGAGACCAGGGAAGACACCTGTGGGCACTGGCTGCAAACTAGACTTGGAGGCCTGTCTCAAAAGGGTGGCGCTTGGCTGGGGTGTAGGGAAGGTTGGAGCCCTGTGAGCATCCGCCAAGACGCATGACGGCCCTGGAGGCAGCTCCAAAGGGGACCCCCTCCACTGAAGAACCATTCAAAGTCATGGCAGGCAAGTTAGGGGGTCTCCCAGAAGACAACTGAGGTACCCTCTGGGGTCCACACGTGGGACCCTGGCACGCAAGATCAACTGCTTGGGCGAAGGCAGTGCGGGAGCGTACAATACAGTGGAGGCAGGCACACTCATATCTTAGAAACACTGCTTAAGTTTTTACATAGAAGTAGAGTCATTGACTTCAGTTGTATTAGGCATATGTTTTACTATTTATAAGATCAGGCCCCCAGTATAAACAGTGCATTAAAAGCCGTCAGGTAGTCTATCTTTGATCTCTTCTTTTCTTGGTCTCTTCTGCTACTATGGCAAGGGAATTCTGAACCTGGATTGAATGCAGGGTATTGTTTGAAAACTGCTGCAAATGCTGAATGAAACATGACAGAACATGCATCAAAAGGCAACAACTGGCAGCCTGCATGAGTTAGAAATGTTTCAAATGATGTAGCTTGTTAGAAAAAATATGGTCTTTTCTTACATTAAATGTACACATTTTAATTCAACAAATTAGATTTAAAGCCAGTCTCATTATCTAAAGGAATTTAACAAAAACACAACTTGAAAGTCAAATGGACCACAAAATTAGCAAACGTCATTGTATTCTATTTTGTTTAGTATAAATATCTTGTGATGTTACATGTGGGAGGCTTTTGAGTCCTGTTCTTTTCCTACTGCAGTGATTCTCGATCAGGCAGCTGGGGCACTGTAGGGTACTTCCAGTTCCTTTGAAGGGTGCCATGAGGTATGAGAAGATATAAACGAAGTGTGAAGAGCTAAGCAGATAAGCGGATTAATTAAGCAGACAAGCACAGGCTCAGGCTTGTCCCTTTCTGGATGATCCCCCAGCTTTACCACCTGGCCTCTCTGCAAGCAGGTAAGCATTGTAATATATAAATTAGTTTTTTAAATTAGAGGTGCCTTGCACCTTCCAATTAGAGGTGCCTTGCATCCAGAAAGGCTGAGAACCACTGCCCTAATGGCAAGCCCTACTTTAAGTGTAAAAGAACAAAAAAGCACCTCTATCCTGCTGCCATGATGAATTGTAGGCTTAATGATCCTATTAATGTTAGCACACCTGAGGCTTTTTATGTGCACAGCGTTATTTAATATGTTTATGGGGTTGAGGTAATACATGCTGTTGATGTTACAATGTGGAATCCGTGGAGATTTCACATTCAGAATTCTCTATTGTGATCTATAAAATCTTGTTCTTTTCATAGCTACCTGCCCCAAAGGGGATGGCAATGTATAGAAGGGTGTGGGATCTTGTACCTTTTTGTGAACTTCAAGTGAGCACTCCTGATAACTTTTTCATTATCTTCTTTAGGTATAATATGGCATCCTTTAAACAATTTTGGCTTGTTTTCTAAGACGTTGCCAGACTGGTTTGTTGTGAGTGTACTTGGAGCTGTATTTTCATGAAGCATCTACAGTCTCTCCCCACTGGTGCTGAAGGATTTGCACTGTTTCAACATGTTTCTCGTTCTCAGTATGTGGAAATATCACCACTACTTGAGTGATTTCATATTCTGATCTGTACATTAATGGCATACATGCCATTTTTGGTCTGCGAATTGGTGAATGGGATTTGTACTTAGCAATGTCTTCCTTTGTTGCCAGTAAGTTTTAGTGCTTTATATATAAGGAGCAGCCTTGAAATTGTATGGTAAGCACAGATAAGTAAGTGGGAGGATGTAACAGCAGGCAGCGGCATACATTTGGTCCCCAGCCAGTGGGACAGGAACAAGAAGGAGGTCCAATAGGTTACAGGGGTATATCATTGCACAGGTCTTACTGAGACTGGAAGTAGGTCTCGTAAAAGGACTGTCAGGATACAGGTTCCCTGCAGGGAGACTCTTACAGTGAAGTCAAGCTCTCACTGAGGTTGTGAGGGTTGGGAATCCCCTTGATCTCAACCTCTCTAAATAGTAGACAGGACCAGTGGCTCCATGCAAGTGAGGGAATACAGAGGGGTTGAGGAGGACGTGAACCAGCTGCTCAGTACTGGACAGGAGCCCTACAACCTCCCGCTGAAAGGACTGGGGAGTGCCCAGGCTCAGGGAAGGAGGGGGCGCGCATTCAGTGACGCTGCTCCAGTCTGTAGGCAGGGGGCAGCAAGGACCAGGTCTGTCTCCCTCTGGGACGGAATAGGGGCATGGGGCCCAGCTGTCACTGCTACGAGACTCATCTTAGTGCGTGTGTCTGGGGACAGCTCCAGCTCAGGAGGGGAGCTTAGTGCGGGGTCCAGCTCTGCGCCGTTGGCGCACTGTGGAGGCCCCAGGCTGGGTGCAGGGCTCTGGGCGCGGGGCCCAGACTGGCAGCGCAGACCAGAGAGG